TAGTAACTTACAGTTTGTTGGCGAATTATGATACAACTTAAAACCCACCTTCTGTAAAATGCTGTTTCTCACCTTTCAATTTGCTGTTTCTTTTCCAGATACTGGACATGGAACAATTTACACCTCTGATGATCAAGGCATCATATACTCCAAGTCCCTGGAAAGGCATCTCTATACTACCACTGGGGGAGAGACAGATTTCACCAATATAACCTCCCTACGAGGCAGCTACATTACCAGTGTGCTTTCAGAGGGTGGGTTTTCATTTTTCAAATTTCTTTAATTGTCACTGAAAGTTTATAGGATTGCTGAATTCTTCTAAGAAAATGGTTAAAATATTTGGATACAATTTCATTTAGAATGAAAGAAATACTCCTATCACTTTAGTAATATACCTAGAAGATGTTCTTGTGGAACACTTTTATAAAACTTCATAATTAATTAGCTCTTTGGCTGTCGTTGTTTATGCCATATTGACTAGAACTGTTTAGTTTCTGCCGAAAGTTGAAACTTTTTACATTACTTGTGTAAAGTAAGATAAAATTAATATGTGCCAAATTGTGATGGAAGGCAAGCAATTTCTGTAGATGGCGATCAAACGTTTTGTTCAGAGTGGAAATGTCAAGCTACAATGTAAAACTTTGAAATTCTGTATGGAAATTATGTTTTATTCAAACAAACAAAAAATAACACTTCTGCATAGGAACGGGTGTTTGAAACTTTGAGGTCAAACTACATATATTGGCCCAATTGCTTCTAAGCATAGGGATGATTATTATATCGTAAGTAACACAGACAGGACAAGCTGTGTTTCTATCTTGTTTCCTTCCCCATTTGCTGAGAAATGAATGATTAGGTGCCAATTTAAATCAGTGTATATAAAGTGCTTTTTCATACAATGTAAGTCCCTGAGAAGAATCTATAGTCCGTTTGCTATTATAAACTTGTAAAAAGAAATTACTGAAGGAAGATTATTCTTTCTTGCATGACACTAATGGGTGGTTTGCTTGTGGGTTGGTTTCCTTATCTACTTATTTTCCCTGAATAAATTTCAGATGTTGTTTTCTGCTTTAGTTTAATTAAAGTGTAATCTGCCTTTGAAAAATAAAAATTGATTGGTTGCTAAAAAAAAAAAGCTTTTTAGTAATTTTTTGTAAAAGTTCATGGTTCTTTGATGCTTGGGATAATAGCTGTTGCATAACCTGGAAACAAACAAACAAACAAAAAAACCCAACAAATTTTTAGATTTTCTGAGGATATTGTATGGATTATAGTATATTAGACAAAGTTATGGATTTTTTTCTTCCTTCAATCAGATAATTCCATTCAGTCTGTGATTACCTTTGATGAAGGAGGGGAATGGATCCACTTGAGGAAACCAGAAAATGCTAAGTGTGACTCAACAGCCAAAAATAAAGAAAAGGTTTGTTTTTTAATGTATTAGCAAAAGTGAGATGTGAACTCAATCAGTGTTGACAAGCAAAAGAAGTATGTACGGTAGATCCAAACTAATTTTTACTGAGATCAAGGAATCATGTTAAGATGTTACATGAACAAAATTGATGTATTAAACAGCCTTTGGAATTGTTCAGTTGGAAGCTGACTTGTGTGGTTGTTTTAATTCATATGCAAGGCAGATTAATGCCTAGAATTTGAGATAAAATTAAAGTTAAAAATATTATTCGGAACATTTTGCAAGGAAAGTAGAATGCTGAAAAAATGTATACTGAGTGGAGTTTAATTTAGCCAAAAGAAGAAAATGTAAAACTATCGAACCTATACAATTAAAAAGTTGCTTGGACCATGTGGGTTCAAAATGAATTGCTTCACTTTTGAGATTTTGATTCTTAAATGAATGAATGAATGAACCTTTATTATCAAAGTATAACATGTATACAGTGAAATTGGCTGAGCCTCCCTCCATGCCCCCTCCCACAACTCACAGTGTCTACAAACCCCCAACTAGTTACACCCTGTGAGCTAATTGCACAGCACGGCGGCCTCACGAGTCTGTCATGCATAAAATTGTGTCCCATTCAAGAGCCTGACAACCCATAGATAAAAGCTGTTCTTCAGCCTGTTAGTCTGCCCTGGCTTTGCATTAGTAAAATTTTTCTATATTAGCAGATGTATTGAGATGAGTAATGACGCTAGCTTTGCATTTAATGAAATCATATCCATGATGCACTTGTATTTTGTCCCTCATTCTTGTTTGGATTATCTTATATTTACAGTGCAACCTTCACATTCATGCGTCCTATAGCATCTCCCAGAAGCTGAATGTACCTATGGCACCTCTGACTGAACCAAATGCTGTTGGAATTATTATTTCTCATGGTAATGAATTAATCTTATGCACACATAATATGCAATGACATAATGTGCAAGAGCAGAGACTTTTCTTGTGATCCTTCACTACCTTTAGATTGCTTTTTCTCCCTGCTTAATTAGGAGAGATACACTGTAAAGGATGTGAGAGACTGTGGGCTTGACAAAGAAATACATGTGGCAGGTCTTTGTGAGAAAATTGATATAATTGCCATTTATGGTGCTTTATGTTGCAGGAAGTGTTGGAGATGCTATCTCAATAACAAACCCAGATGTTTACATTTCGGATGATGGTGGCTACACCTGGATACGGACACTTGAAGGTCCCCATCACTATGCAATATTGGACTCTGGAGGCATCATTGTGGCTGTTGAACAAATTCATTTTGTCAAAGAGATTAAGTACGCAAGAGTTTTGCTAATATTCGTTTAGTAGGAGAACATAAGTTCTCTGTTTGGTTCTCAGCCTCCACATCACTGGTTACAGAAATTCAAAGACATTGTTTTCCTGGTATAATGTCAAATTAGATCGCTCTGAAATTAGAACATATGAAATATATAAAAATTTATAAAAACATATAAAGCTTTAGATAAAAAGGATTACAACAGAATTTGTAATCTTATTTTAAAAATAAACTCCAGAACAAGGGGCTTAATTTAAAGTTAATATACATGGAATTATATCCAAGAAAAAAGCTTAGGAAAAAGGGTGCAAAAAAGAAAGGCAATCATAGTTGAGCATATAGTTTGGGGTAATACAGGTAGTCCTCGGCTTACAATTTAGTTGAGTCCAAAATTACAGCTGCAAGTCATGCTGATCATTAATTGGGATCACTGACCCAATTTTATGATATTTTTTGTAGCAGTTATTAAGCAAATGTGCAGTCGTTAAGTGAACATCACTATCACTAAGTAACCACTGTGGTCTTTAAACAAACTCATTGTTTGCTGGAAACCCAAAATAAACATTGGTTTATGGCAAAAACCGTAAATTGCGGTTATGTGACCTTGGGATACTGCAAATGGCTGTAAATGCAGGACAGTAGCCAAGCACTCAAAGTGTGATCACATGACTGGTGGGGAGGGAGGGAGGTGTTGGAACTTTGAATCCGGATCATAAGAAATTTCTTACAGCTTCTACCAGTTGCTCGGTGACTGGTCATTAAGAGAGAACTACCTGTAATCTCTTGTGAAGACATGAGTTGTTGAGGAAAAAAGGAAAAAAAACCTATTTTTTTAAACCATCTCCTCCCCACCCCCCACCCTCCCCAAAAAACCCAGAGGTGGGGACAAGGTTGTTTTATGTATAAGCTTGGGTTTCTTTTTCCTGTATGACTCCAATTTTTTTTGGCTTAATAAAATTAGTCATCTTGTTAGGGACTGTTGTTAAATTAGCTGTCTGATCAGTTTAAATAGATCTGGGTCATGATTCGAAACCAAATGTCTAATAATTATTTATTTTAGGTTCTCAACAGATGAAGGACAGTGCTGGCACAGCTATGTTTTCAGTCAGGAGCCTATCTTTTTCACTGGTTTGGCCTCAGAACCTGGAGCAAAATCAATGAATGTTAGCATCTGGGGATTTCAGGAGAGCTTCTTATCTCGCCAGTGGATCTCATATACCATTGATTTCCAAGATCTCCTCAGCAGAGACTGTGAGTGATCTTATTCCTTACAGAAATATCAGCAGCCACACACACTATTACGGCTTTATGAATCAGAACAAATGAGGCAGAACATCTTGTATAGGCTGCGATGTTATTCTGATGTGATTTGGTACCTTTCCAATTAGAATACAGGTAGTCCTTGCTTAGCAACCAGTTGTTCAGTGAGTGTTCCAAGTTGCGACAGCACTGAACGAGTTGTACTTACAACTAGTCCTCAAAATTCCAGCCCTTCCAGTACCCCCACAGTTATGTAATCATGATTTGGGCAATTGACAATCAGCTTGAATTTAATGACAGTTGCATTATCTCACAGTCACATAATCACCATCCAGAATCTTTCCTGTTGGCTTCCCACATGCAAAGTCAGTGGGGAAACTGGCAAGAACAGTCATGTGCTGCTCTGATAAGTTTCTCTCCGCCTTCCTGAGCATTGTGCCAAACTCTGCTCCCCTCAGCCTCCCTGAGCTCTTACCACACCATGCCTTCCTCTGCTCAGCCTCCATGCACGCCTACCATGCTTTCCTTTCCTCAGCTTCCCTGCACTTGCACTGTCTCTCCACCCCTCAGCTTTCACAACACAGTAGCCCACTTGCCCAACTTGCATGTGACCTGCATCTCCCCCACCCCCCCCAGCGGCACCCATTTGAGACTATATTTATGATGCCAGCTGCAGATCTCCAATCCCTAATATTTTCAGAGCTGGGCAAGATAATTTTAAAATGCCTATTTAATTCTGGAAATCTCTGAATTTTTCAAAAACAATTGAAGAATTTGAGCAAGTTTTGGGGCCAATGTAAGAGCACAGATAAATACTCCAGCTATTTCTATATGTAATTCTACAAAACATTTCCTCCGTCTTTGTTCTCTTAAATTGATTGTACAGGGGAGCAGGGATGTCTCCCTTCATTCCTTTTTGTTGATTGGTATATATTGCAAATGCAGGGCCCATGAGATGTAGCTTTGCAAACTCTCAACTGGAAAAACTACACAATTCCCTTAGGGTCCCATAATACCCAAGTGTAACACTTTGTGAAGAATTGAAAATTGTCAGGAAAAACGCTTATTACTCTTTCTAGTTTTTTTTGGCAATCTTAGAAATCTGGTCATTATTCTTTCCTCAGGTGAAGAAAAGGACTATACAAAGTGGTTGGCTCATTCCAGCAATCCCAATAATCCCACAGATGGATGCATACTGGGCTACAAGGAAGAATATAGACGCCTTCGCAAATCATCTGTCTGTAAAAATGGCCGGGACTACATTGTGACCAAGCAGCCATCTGTCTGCATTTGCACATTAGATGACTTTCTTTGGTACGCTAAAAATCAAGAATCTGGTAGCACCTTTTTCAGTTAACACATTTTACTACAAGGCATAAGCTTTCATAAGTTGCTTTTGGAAACTTCATTAGATGCTTAGAATGGCATTTTTCTTTCTTGGTCTTTTTTTAAATGTTATGAAATGGTTAGAGCTATTACTTTTTTCTATCTTTATTTTTCCACTAGAGCTTACCAATAGGCAGTAATAATGGCACAGTATTTGCTCAAGATTTTCAGTTGTATCATGTGGCTGAACTGTACCAGAGACACTGTGTGCCTTATTAGTCCCCCCCCCCCCTTCCTCTGGGATTGCTCCCAGGTCAGGCCCCATTTTTCTGCTTCCTTTGTTCTACTCCACTGGATCACCGGAATTCTCTGCCAATTTTCTTATTGCCCTTTTCAAGTCTCTTCTATTTTCTCAGACTGTGACAGCAGAATCCAGCTCCATTGTCATTAGGGAAGTTGATCTATCTCACTGGTGACCTATTACACGATTTACATATAGCAGTAAAATATGCTTTGTTTTAAGCACCGATTGATGAACAAATCATAGTGGCCTAGTTCTGATCTAATTGCAAAGCTATGCATGTTTTATGAAATCCAGTGGCTGGATTCAAAAACCATAGTACTTTAGAACCACACCAACCACATTAATAAAAACATTTAAATGAATTAAAAAATAAATAATGAAGTGTGAACACTGCCACCTTCTGTGTATGACATGGCATAACACAGTTATAGTCCAAACTACAAAATGTATTGCAATGAGTGACCATTAGTAAACTAGAGAAAGCAATGTGAGTTAGTGTGTCAGAGATTACTACAGCAAGCAATAAGAGTTGTGCTAGAAGCTGGTTATGATTACCACGTTTTATTAATAGGTTTGTTTGAGATGGCACTATTTTGTGCTTTTGCACAAAATACCTGAACTTATGCTCTCAGTTATGGCTGCACTTGTCAATATTTCTTTAAAAAAGGCATTTCTCACTGCAGTAGGATTCAACAAACAGTAATACCATTGTTCTAAAATTCTAATGTATGTTATGCCTTTCATTTTGGCACAAGATCTATTTTTTTGATGTATTTTTCATTCATGCAATACATGAATGAATATAATACATTCAATGATATACATGTGTGGCTTAAATATTTAATGTATTACAAATTAGATGCTTATTCTGGAAAATGAGTAGGCAGTTGGAAGCGCAATGCAAAAAAAAAAAAGTGTCCTCTGGAAATATGGGAATCTTCACTAACCAGCTCATCAGCTGAATGTTTGCAAACAGGTTATATAATGGTAGTGAGAAATCAGCAGGCTTGTTAAGCATTAGCTGGCTGTTTCATACAGCATCCCATGTTTGTTTCTTAAAGATTAGTGGATCAGTAAACCGGTAGGACCAGATTTCTGATTTGCATTGTTAATGAAAGTAGAAACCAGTCATCTTAGGTTAAGTTTGTTGGGAGGATCAGGATAAGGCTTCCTCTCAGCAAACTTACTGTTTACCTGTTATATGAAGGGAATCTTGATGATCATTCCAGAACTGAGATACTGTACAGTGCTGTTGTTGAATATCGTACTCCCAAAACGGCAACAGTATAAGCCCGAATATGTGCTTTAACCTGGATTTAATAGAATTTGTTTAAGCTTTCTTCTACCACTCTGAACTTCCTGGAAAATTAGCAAACTGGCTTGCCAGTATTTTTATCATTGCATTGCATGAACTATCTGTGTTATTTCCTTTTTTCGAGCAGTTGATTGGAACTTCAGTAGAATCATGAGATATTAAAACAGGAACATGCTTCCCCCAAGGCAATCAGGAGCCATTGCTGTAGATTTCTTAGTAAATCTTCCATCCCTACAGATTTTATAGGCTCATATTTGTCTAAAGTAGGACTAGACAACCTAATGCCCTAAGTCATCATGGCTAACAATAAGAGATTTTGAGAGATGTAATCCAAAATATGGAAGGCAACAAGTTACCTGCACCAAACTAAAACTTGCTACCTAATGACCTGTCCATGAAAAAATGGAACCCAATGATGTCCAGAACAGTACCATTCAGAGTATGTCCTATTACATGGCCAAATACAGGTAGTCCTCAACTTACGACCACAATTGAGCCCAAAGTTCAATCGGTTTTACCTGTTTTATGACCTTTCTTGCCAGAGTTGTTAAGTGAATCATAGCAGTTGTTAGTAACACGGTTGTTAAGTGAATCTGGCTTCCCGATTGACTTTGCTTGTTAGAAAGTTACAAAAGGTAATCACATAACCTTGGGACACTGCATCATAAATCATAAATATGAGTCAGTTGCCAAATGTCTGAATTTTGATCACATGACCATGGGGATGCTGCAGTAGCCATAAAGGTAAAAAACAGCTATAAGTCACTTTTTTCAGTGCCATTGTAACTTTTGACCAAATCACTAAAAAAGAGCCATGGTGGCACAGTGGTTAGAATGCACTATTTCAGGCTAACTCACTGCTCACTGAGAGCAGTTTGGTTTTGACCGGCTCAAGGTTGACTCAGCCTTCCATCTTTCTGAAGTCAGTAAAATGGGGATCCAGATTGTTTGGGGGGGGGGCAATATGGTGGCTCTGTGAACGGCTTAGAGGGGGCTGTAAAGCACTGTGAACCGGTATATAAGTCTAAATGCTATTGCTATTGCTAAATGAGCTGTTGTAAGTGGAGGATTATCCTGAATAAATCCCAAGAAAGTAAGATATGCATAAGTAATGAAGTGGGATGGTGTCATCAGTCTGGAAACCTACCATACAGTAAGCTCAAGTAGAGAAACGATTGGTCCGTGGAGTTAACAATACAAGTAGTTACCGTATTCTTATGAGCCACTCTGGCACCTTCCACCTGCCCGGCAACAGCCATCACTGGCCCCACAGCACTCATGCCATCCTTATCTGCTTACTAGCCTGTTTGCAAAGCACCTGGGACTCGCTTAATGAACAATTCTCATTTAATGACAGCATCGGAGAGTGCTGGGATCGCTACTGCTAAGCAATGTGGTCACATGACATTGCGCTTTGCCACCACATTGCTCAGCGCTGATAATTCCAGTCTCAATTACGATTGTTAGCCCAAGGACTCTCTGTAGTTCAGGTGAATCTTCATTTTGTTCTGGTCATTTCTGCTGAAAGGCAAACATTCAAAACTCCTAGGTTATTAAGGAGGGCACTTTGTTGGGAGTGAAGTCATTATAAACTGAAGCAACTATGACTTTTTGTCCCCAGACCAGTATGGCAAAGAGAACAGGGACAATTTCACCTCATCTTTTCCACCAACCAGATCTCTGTAATACGCGTTAGGTAAGGTCAATAGTGCACAGCCAGATGATCCTGAATGTTATCATAATTTTATTGTTTTCTAATCTGGCATTCAGGAATACCATCTTCATACTGAGTTGGGAAGGCACCATCAAATAGAAGACTATAGCTGAGAGACTAACAGAAATCAGGAACGCCTGTCATTTCTGTATCTTCCTCTGCTTGCTCTGCTTGCACTGCCTGCCACCGAAAGACCTTTCATTATTTATTTTGAAAGGGTATGCATGCACGTGTGTGTATATGTGTGTGTATGTATGCATCACATTCATGATAAAGCATCTTAATAACCACCTGTCCCCTCTGCAGATATTTATATAACCCCAAGTATCATGATAACAGTCAAAATATTTACGGTCTTCTTTACACACATAAGCTAAATATCAATAATTATTTGTGTAAACGTGCATATATGTTTCAGATGAAGTCAGTGGCTTTTCTTTCTATGTATTTGTTTGTTTATTCTTCCCCTAGTGATTTTGGCTATTTCCGCCCAGAAAATCAGTCTGAATGTGTGGAGCAGCCAGAGCTGAAGGGTCACGACTTGGAATTCTGCTTGTATGGGAAGCAAGAGCTATTAAAGACCAGCGGGTAATTTTCTTGTAAGATTCTAATACATCAGCAGCAGCATGCAAATTGATGTCCTTAGCCAGCAAGAGAAATTGGAAGATGGCCTTAGGGTTGTGGATCCTTTTATAAAATAAATATGTTTTAAACTGTTGGGTCTTTTAGGGTCCCATGGCATACAATCAATGAAAGTTCTTATCAAGCTCTGACATCTGACTTAGATGTCAGAGCTTGATAAGAACTTTCATTGATTGTATGCCATCATATTAAATACCATTTTGAAGAGCCAGTCCAAAAATAATGCTTACTGTAGGGGAGTGTTTTAGAGCTTGAGATAACTCAAGGTTCATCAGACAAATAAATAGCCTTCAGCTTCCCTGTTCTGAACTGGCACTGACATAGATAGCTGATCTTTGCTGGCTTGAGATGCTCTCACTCATTAAAAGAAAATTTAATGAATGAAGAGAAGGACGAGGGGTGACATGATAGCAGTGTTCCAATATCTCAGGGGTAGCCACAAAGAAGAGGGAGTCAAGCTATTCTCCAAAGCACCTGAAGGCAGGACAAGAAGCAATGGATGGAAACTAATCAAGGAGAGAACCAACCTTGAACTAAGGAGAAATTTCCTGACTGTTAGGACAATTAACCAGTGGAACAACTTGCCTCCAGAAGTTGTGAATGCTCCAAAACTGGACATTTTTAAGACGAGATTGGTTAACCATTTGTTTGAAATGGTATAGGGTTTCCTGCCTGAGCAGGGGATTGGACTAGAAGACCTCCAAGGTCCCTTCCAACTCTATTATTATTATTATTATTATTATTATTATTATTATTATTATTATTATTATTATTATTATTATTATTATTATTATTATTATTATTATTATTATTATTATTATTTCCCCAATTACCCTATTAAAACTGTTTTTGATTTTCAGATATCGGAAGATTCCAGGGGACAAATGTGTAGGTGGGAAGAATCCCAAACGTAAAGAGACGGATCTGAAGCAAAAGTGCACAAGCAACTACCTGAAGTTAAGCCCCTCGGTAGGCTACGCAAAAAAAATGAAAAGAAAAAAAAATATCTGCTGAAATAATTGTGGTAGATAAGGAAAAACATTCTAACATAGTCCAAAAAGAGGGAGAATGCCCAAGAAGTATTTCTCATAATTTTTCATTCGTTTTTCTGATACTACTAACCTCGATTTTGTGCAGTCGTTGTGATAAATGAGCTTCGGAAACCAGCTGCTGAGACCAGCTGCTTTGCAGACTAGCTGCTGATTAGCATTTTGAGGGAGGGAATCTAATTGCAAAGGGCTTCACCTTTTTCAAATTTCTTTTTTTTTTTTTTTTTTTTTGCTTTTCCAAATCTGTGCCGCATTCAAGACAGGAGTGCAGAGGCCCTTTTGGTAAGGAGCAATTGAGAGATGCTAGAAAGATCATTAGAGAAGCACTTTGTAGCTGTAATGGTCTTGTGTCTAATAATGTGTTACTTAAAGCTTTAGATAGCTTTCTGCTTTCTTCCTACAGAACACTTCTTCTAACTCTACTCCAGTCATCCTGGCTGTAATTGCCTTGATGCTCATCACTGCTGTCGCTGGAGTAGTCATCATTAAGAAATACGTCTGTGGGGGAAGGTGAGCCTCGGAGGGGAGAATGACAAATAGAGTTGTAAGGGAAAAAATGCCGTCTTTGTTACATAGATGTGGAAGCAACAGAATGAGACTGAAATGTATTGGCAGCAATGTCATCCTTATATGAGGAGAAACAAGACATGTGTTCCTATAAACTGAGTGTTAGTGATACTGCTAAACTCTTTCCTTTTTTTTTTTTTTTTGTCTCCAAAGCAGTCCTTGATTTTGTTTGTTTCCAGAATTGGGCTTTGTGATTGAATGAAAGCAGTGTGTGTGTGTGGGGGGGGAAAGGTAGCCTTTGAGCCAGCTGATTGTTCCAGATATGAGGCTGTGCTGCTGTGAATATTCTAGAACAATCTGCTTTTAGATTTAGAACAATGAGAGACATGAAATGGGAGGGGGGCATTGAGAATCATGAGCAGCTGGGGGGGGGGGAGGAAGAGAGGTTTTTTTTTAAGTTGACAGGCTTGCATAGACAAAATCAGAGCAGTAACTTTTATTTGCCTGACCAAACCCATAAGAGGTTCACCCAGAGCAGGAATAAAGCTCAGATCAGATTTTCGGAAAGTCTGGCGATCTGTCAGAATCATCCACCAGTCACTGAAATGTTGTCTAGTTGTATAAGGGGTGGGGATGGAGGATTGCTTATCATTTAGAGAGAACTTGGTATCACAGAGTTGGAGAACCACTAATATAATGAGAATCACTGTTTACTTCTAGGCTTAGTAACTTCTCTGACCACTGTTCCAGTTTCTATCATTTTGAAGGCTTTATTCCTTCCACTTTTTATAGCTTATTGTTACTGTAAAACAGCTTACTGAAGAAACTGAGATTAGTAATAGCAGCCGATATATTAAGACCTTCAAAAGATCTCTATTTTAACTTCTCTTTAAAGGAGACTGAACTGATATAATCAAATATACAATAGTTCTTTCATCGGTGTTTTTCATATTCCTAGATTTCTGGTTCACCGGTATTCTGTCCTGCAGCAACATGCAGAAGCGAATGGCATTGAAGGACTTGACGTACCTGGTGCCAGTAAAATTGGCTACCATGATGATTCTGATGAGGCAAGTGACTGTGCCCCTAAACATGCATCTTTCTAGGCAGTCCTGGTTAACTAAGAACCTGACAACTGTGAATTGTTTTTCTATATTGTTTAACATACGTCAGTTTAAAAAGGCAATACAATTTCTGAGATAATGGGGGCAAGAACTGTTTTAAAAGACTGGCTAGCTTTACATTTACCACAGCCAGCTTAAGAAGAATTCTTAATTCAAAATATTAGTTTATAATGTTTTTTTTTCTTTCTTTTTCTGCTCAGGATTTGTTGGAGTAGTGATGGTCTCACTAGGATTGCACACTTCTTAAGTTTGGCTGCTGCTATAGAAGGGCATGAATGCCAACAGTCCATTTTACTTCTGATATGGATGCCTTTCCCGTATCTGAGAAAGTCTATATTCCTTTTGCTTCTATCAAATGTCTAAAACCAACAGAGCTGCAAGAACTGCATAAGATTTTTAAGGGGGAGGGCAAGGTTCTCTAACTCTGATAAATGAAGAAGGAAAGCTGTTTAATTTAAATATAATTTTATTTTAATCAGATTTCTCCAGCTTTAGAAGGAGATCTAATAGGACTGTGAAATAAGGATTTCACTAAATATTAGCATTACTAGGTACAATGTACTATGCTGCTGGAAGAAACTCCCAAATCCCCAAATGGGAAACATACTGCACTCCAACACTGATAAAATTGCATTGAAGCTCTTTAGCACAACAACACTCCTAGCAAACAGAGCAATGAGATGCTGGGCAGAGATTGTGGGTAACCAGCATCACAATGGGCTGTGTGCCAAAATGCATTTTATTTTTGTTTTATCTAAAATGTAATCAAATCGGTAGATGTGTACTGTGTAACGTAAGGATGACTCCAAGGCTTGAAATACGTCTGCAGCCCAACATCCTATGATTCCAAGGAACTGAACTGTGAAATTAGCATGTGTACTGCCATACATTCAAAAACAAACTGCACAGCTCTGGATGGGAAAGAGATGTTTGTTTAAAAAAAAATCTAAAAAAATAAGCAGTACAGACCTGTTAGAAGTAAGAGTTATTTAAATTGTTTAGGTACCAAATTAGGTACATTGTTTAGGTACTAAATTAAGTACATTATATCAGCTTCTTGAAGAAAACCTGTTACTTGCAGCAGCACTATGAAGGTTTCAATATTTTCCTTTTCACTGTTTTCTTGAAAGCAATAGATTGGTGCTTGCCACTTCGGCACCATTTTACTATTGTGGATTTATGAGCCTCTTTATATCAGTATAGTTAAACTGTTGTAATACCTTGTGAAATCATATGTTTGGTTTTCCGAAAGTAATAGAAATGGACTCTTCACAATATTTAATTCAAACTGTCTTGAAGTCTAGAAACTGATTCTACTAGAAAACCAGTTGACCAATTTAAAGCACTCCAGGCCAATAGGCAAACTTTGAATTTTATGTGGGTATTCTTCTGTTTTCCCAATGGGGCGACTCCATTGCTTCCCTCCTGCAGTTTCTACTCCGGGAGGTTCTTTAATCCTCCAAAATATATTTGGGGTACATGTTGGGATGGAAGGAGAGGAATATATTTCAATACATTCAGCAACTGACTGAATGTTTCAGTCAATTGTTGAAAGACAATTGGGTAAATCCAACTCTAACAATGGTGAGGTTTTTTTCCACTGATGGTGGAGAGAAGAGCTGCAGTGTACAGACAGTAGTACATGGTTACTGAAATTGCAATTTGAGGTTTTCCCTGCTTAAATTTGGGGAAAACATTGGGGGAGGATTCTTTGTTTTAAAAATATGTTAAGACCTATTTTAGGGATTCCATTACAGATATCATGTGCTTGCTTCAAAAGATTAGAAAACCATTTCCGGGTTCAGCTGTTACATCCAGAGTGATAACTAAGCTGCCAAACACTGAGCAATATTGCCCACCTCATTTATAAAGCAAATGGAATCCTTTTATTTGCACTCCAAAGGAATGTTGATAAACATTAACCTTAGTTTTTGATGTTTTTTATTTGTCCTTTCATTAAAGGATTACACCCATAAGAAAATACTCTTTGTTTCAGATATAATTTCGGTTTCTTTCAAAATAATGAATTGTGACTGACTTTTCCTCATTTGAGAATTGGGCTTGGCAAGTAGAACTATTTAAAAAAATGGAAAAGAACCTTTTTTTTCAGGACAGTTCTACATCTGGATCTCAGGGTGTTTTGCATGATGATGTTCACTCATCTGTTTCCTTCCTTCAGTCTTATCTGGAAAAGGACCATACCAGCAAAAAATATCCATTCAAGGTCTGTGCATGAGACTTCTCTTCTTCTCTACCAATCTGGTACTTGAGATATACTTCCAAAGGTTATGTTGCTTGAGATGCTGCTATCACAGCATTGGAAATCATAGTTGTTGGGTGGGAGAGTATGCAAAGACTCTGGACTGACTAAAAATGGAGGAAATCGAGCTTATATTGCACTAAATTGGGTAATTACAAATAACACCAATGTTATATGTTACACGATCTCATCCCGGTCTAGCATACACATTCCTTTTTGCAAATGACCCATCGTCAGCATTCTTTGGTGATTAATTGTTTAATATTTGTCTCATCATTCATTTTCTTTTCATTTCATCTTCACACAGACCCTAAGAGTAAGTTTGGTCTGTTTGAGATGCAATTAGCTTGTCACTGGTGACTTACATCAGACCAGTTAGGATTTGTTAGCTGTTCCAAAGCTAGCTGGTATTTCAATATAGATCAGGCTACTAAAGTTATAATGCTTTCCAACTCTCCTTTGATAGCAATAAAATGAGAGTGAGAAGCCTGAAAGCAAGTGCTTGTCTTGAATTTGTCCCCCATCCCTCTCAATTCTTGTGCCCTTCCTTTGTACCATTGCATGATATGATGATGCCCAGAGTAGTAATCTTTTTAGATTGTTGATCCCTATTGAAAAAAATAAATGCAACAGGAATACTCATAAGACAAGAGAAAGGGCAGGAAGAAATGTCTGTTCCTGGAAGACCTGTTCCACATTAAACTCCCACAAGTTATCTTTTGCTTATAGTATTGGATAGTACACAAGCATACCTGATATATCAGTAACATGTGTACAGTGCAATGATAACTCTTACAGCTCATGGTTACCACTTCTTGAACTAAAACGTAGTCCTTTATTTCACTCTAAAACTATTTAAACATACTTGTGCAGAAACCCCCTGTGTAGAATCAGATTGCTCCACTAAATTGGATGTGATGACTGAAATCTGGTACTGGAAATATAGGAGAAAACCTGTCATAGATCTTCTCCAGCACAACGTGTATGTAATAAGTGATTACTTCCTCTTTCTAGTATATGTCAAATTTCCCTGACAGGCTTAGAAATCTTGTTACCGGATATTTATCTCTCTCAGGCCAGGGACCTCTTCCTTTGCCTCATTTCTATTGGCCTTTTCTTCTCAAGGTAGAGTACATTGACTGACACAGTGACAACATTCCAATAAACTAAAATCTGCCCAGTAAATCAGGGGCTTACGACTGCTACACATCTGCGCTGCGCAGTGGTAGTCTTCCTCCCATAGTGTTGAATATGTAGATAATGTGACATATTTCTCACTGTTTTGTAAGTGTTGCCCAAGCAACATAGCAACCATGGCAGCGTTGCCATTGCATGCGCTTTGAAGCATAATTGTCTTCCTAATGTGCCTGCAAGGCAGACCATTCTTGTTCCATACCATCTGTGGGATGGCTACAGAATGCTATGTAGCCAAAAGCCATTGTTAATAGCACTCCTCTATACAGAATTTCCTAAGATGTACAGTCTGAGGCAACATGAAAAAGATAACAAAAAGGAGCCATGTATAGAGTTTTGTAAATATGCCTGGCTATATTATAAATTTGTACTGGTATTTTTCTGTATATTTGCAATATTTGGGTTAGAATTAATAAATGGGCTTTTATTTGGATTTTATGTTGTCTACCTTTACTCTTGAGTATCAAAGCTCTTATAGGATTATGTTTACAACTAAGCATTACTTAGCTCATGTTTTCAGACTTCCTGCACAATATTCTGGTTTTGTATAAATGAAAGAGGTCTAGTTTCTATCCCTGGTTTGCCTTTAATTGACTGCTTCTTACTCTCTCAACCATTGTGCTCTTCTGTACAGTAACTTGACCAATTCTATGATTTCCCCTGTGAATAGTCTGCAAGACCTCTATTAGAAAGGTTAGATCTCTTTCTTTTGTTTCATGGAAGAAGCTCAAGGCTCAAGACTTTTTTTAAAAAAAACTATGCTTCAAGCTAAACAGGTCATGAATAAGAATGAACGGGAGAGCATTGGGGCATCTGTCATGATGCTCTGTCATCCATCAAGAAATTGCCAATCCTTTAATGCAGTGTTTTTCAATCACAGCAATGTTAAGATGTATGGACTTCAGTTCCCCAGCCTGGAAAGGGACAACTCGCTGTGGGACAACTCGCCCCAGGACAATTCAACAAATGCAAAAGTTAAGTTAATTTCGACGGAACTGAGGCCAGTAATAATAAATTCAATCCAGAAATACAAGAGTTACAATAATTTCAACGAAAATGTGGTCACCAATAATAAAAGACACACACACACGCACACACACATGCACACCCAGCCAGTATGCTTCCATTCTGGGAGCGGAAAGTTGAGGTTGAGCAAAACTTTCATGTTTCATGCTGTTCAGATCTTAACAGGCATAAAGTTATTTCTGAATCGATTAAATGCAGAATCATATTTTAAGAGCAAGCAACCTGGTTTCAGACTCTTAAATAGAGAGAGATGAGAGAAGACCATTATATTTTTAGGCTTTTCAAAAAAACAACCTGGTTTCAGAATGTATGTCTAGCTATATAGGTATATGTAGCTTAGGGAAGCGATGGAACCATTCTTACCACACTGATTAATCGGCTATAAGTGGAGTAAGCAAGCATTAAAATCTGACATTTTGGATGGAACAGTAACTTTTAGTTTTCTTTGACTATTTTAAAGCATAATGCTCCCGTCCAGCATCTTTGGATTGAAATTTTGTCTTGTCTCCTTCCCAATAAAAAACGGCAGTTTTATCAGAGTTTCCCTTTCACATCCTTGTTTGCCCATTTTCCTCACATGTCTGATAGGACTTTTACTTCAAATACATTTCATATATAGATTTATCCTTTATTTTGCCACTCCAGACTGAATTAGGTATACCACAAAAGGCCTGGAGTTTGTAAGAGCCTTGTAGTTCAAATTTATTCAGATTAAAACCTTGCAAAATGGAATTACTGTTACTTGGTGATGGATCTGGCTCTATTTCATCTCTGATCTTAGCTAATTTTCTGAATTTTTGTTGCTGGAAATGAAATTTGGTCTCCCGGCATCAGTTTTAGCATTTCGGTTGAAATTGTTTTTGCTCACTGACCTTGGCAAAATGAATTTTTTGAACTTTCATTGCTGGAGATGAAATATGGCAGTGGTGGCGAACCTATGGCACGGGTGCCAGAGGCGGCATTCAGAGCCCTCTCTGTGAGCACGCACACCGTCGCCCCAGTCCTAGGCCTTCAGCTGGGTTTTATAAAACCTTTTCACTTTAGGCCTCTGCCACCATGTGCAAAAAAAAAAAGGTTCAATCAATTTCAACTTCTCGTGAGAAAAAAAAGATCTTGCAAAGTTGGAATTGATTGAACTTTTTACTCCCAATCTGCCGTTACCATCGCAGCCACGCCCACCCAATGGGCCACACCCACCCAATTGGACACACCCAGCCAATGGGCCACACCCACCCGGCACTCGATGATGCATAAGTGGGTTTGGGGTTGCAGTTTGGGCACTCAGTCTCTAAAAGGTTTGCCATCACTGAAATATGGTCTATTTTCTAAAAAGCAACCAACACCATTTTAAGCATGAAATTTAGCCACAAATCTTCTCCCAGCATCTGTTTTAGCATTTGAGTTGAAAAAAATGTTGGCCACCAACCCTCTGGCATTCCAGACCTTGGCAACACGAATATCCCGAATTTTCATCACTGGAGATGAAATATGGCCGATTTTTAGAAAAAGCAACCAACACATTTTTAAGCATGAAATTCAGCACTGAAACATGACACGGGATCCATTTTAGCATTTCGGTTGAAAAAAAAGTTGGCCTCCCGCATCCCAGACATTGGCAACAAGAATTTTCTGAATTTTCATTGTTGGAGACGAAATATGGTTGATTTTATAAAAAGTAACCAACACAATTTTTAAGCATGAAATTTAACCACTAATCTGGTCCCAGCATCCATTCCAGCATTTGGGTTGAAAAGAATTTTGGCCTCCTGTGTCGCTAATTCCAGTATTACCAATTTTCCACATTTTCATTTCTGGGGACCAAATATACAGTGAGGAAAAAAATTATTTGAACCCCTGTACGTTTGCCCACTGACAAAGAAATGATCAGTCTATAATTGTAATGGTAGGTTTATTTTAACAGTGAGAGGCAGGATAACAACAAAAAGAATCCAGAAAAATGTATTTCAAAAAAGTTATAAATTGATTTGTAGGCCTCCCACATCCCTGACCTTGGCCACACAATTTTTAAGCATGAAATTTAACCACGAATCTGATCCTGGCATCCATTTCAGCATTTGGATTGAAAGAAATTTTGGGCTCCCAACCTCCCATGTCACTAATTCTGCCATCAGCAATTTTCCAAATTTTCGTTGCTGGGGACCAAATAGTCGATTTTTTTTAAAGCATGATATTTAATGACAAATCTTGTCCCAGCATACGTTTTGAAAAAAATTTGGCCTTCAGGTCTCCCGCCTTACATTGGCAACACGAATTTTCTGAATTTTCATCGGTGGAGACAAAATATGGTTGATTTTTTAAAAAGCAACCAACAACATTTTTAAGCATCAAATTCAACCCTGAAACTTGACATCTGCTTTAGCATTTCAGTTGAAGAAATTTTTAGCCTCCTGACCGCCCGTGTCTTTAACCTTGGCAACATGAATTTTCTGAATTTTCGTTGCTGGGGACTAAATATAATCGATTTTTTAACAAGGTTACCAATACCATTTTTTTAGCATGAAATTTAATGACGAATCTGGTATAGGTATCTGTTTTAGTATTTCAGTTGAAAAACTTTTTGGCCTCCCGGCCTCCCACATCTCTGACCTTGGCAACACAAATTTTCTGAATTGTCACTGGGGAACAAATATAGTCAATTTTTAAATCTGGTCCCGGCATCCATTTTAGCATTTCGGTTGAAAAACTTTTTAGCCTCTCGGTCTCCCATGTGACTGACCTTGGCAACACAAATTATCCGAATTTTTTGTCACTGGAGACAAAATATGTTCAATTTTTTAGGTTACAAAATCACTATATGATGATTCAGGACCGTGTTGATCTAAGTGACTAACAGAACTGAACAAATGACACTGGAATTTTGGAAAAAAAACTGCAGCCGTTAGTATTTTATCTATTCTTGACATAAGCTGTCTGCCTTGGATCTGATCAAAGTAGAATAATAGAACAGCACTCAGTGAAATTGTGCAATTATCATTTCCCCCCTCCTCTGAAAAGCTTTATAGTACTTGCCATTTCAATCAAAATAAATTCAAGCAGTTCCAGCGCATTAATTCAGCTCTCCTTCAAATGTGTTGTCTTTTATCGTCACCAATAAGTGCTGAAATTATTCCTGCTTCTCTCAACAATATTACACCCTTCGGGAAGTGCTATAGTGAGTTTTTGGGACCTACTGACGAAGACTTGAGGATATATTTCCATGATGACTTTTTTCTTGTTAAACTATCAAAACTCAAAAAACCAAGTCCACATCAGTCCTTCTCATTAGCATAAAATGACAACTCTGTAAAATGTTTGTGGAAAGATCTGAAGCCTGGAGTCATTACAAACAGAATGGAGGAGATGGATCTTCTGAATTTAGGAACATTATTCTTCCCCCTCAAAAAAGCAGCATCCTAGTCAGCACAAATATTCCTCTTATTGTTTACAGGATGCTAAGTTGTATGGTACACAATTATATTGGTGGCTTAAGTCGTTTTGCCTTTCTTAAAAGAAAACCTACAGTAGTAGTGCTCCCATCTTGATGTACTACTTAAAAATCAATATTAATGCTCAAAGCTCAGCCTCTGACCCAATGAGAGGCCTACTGAGAGGGCTTTGTTTCATGTTTTTTCTGAACAATTTTAAAGCCCTAGGAAAAATCCTTAAATTTCATACCCTCATTAGCTGCTCGGTGCTTATAGTCCAGTGGTGGCGAACCTATGGCACGGGTGCCAGAGGCGGCACTCAGAGCCCTCTCTGTGGGCACGCGCGCCGTCGCCCCAGTCCTAGGCCTTCAGCTGGGTTTCATAAAACTTTTCGCTTTAGGCCTCCACCGTCGTGTGCAAAAATAAAAAGATTCAATCAATCAGTCAATTTCAACTTCTTGTGGGGAAAAGAAAAGATCTTGCAAAGTTGGAATTGATTGATTGAACTTTTTAGTCCTACCCAGTCTGCTGTTACCACTGCAGCCACGCCCACCCAATGGACCACGCCCACCCGGCACCCGACGATGCATAAGTGGGTTTTGGGTTGCAGTTTGGGCACTCAGTCTCTAAAAGGTTCGCCACCACTGTTATAGTCCATCAAGATACAACTTTTCTTCATCCCCACAACTGCCTTTCTGCATTTATTTTCCACCTGAGAGTTTTAATTGCAGCACTTAAGTTGTGCTGCTCTTGAATGCTGCTTCCTTTGTCCTTCCCTGCAACCCTTTTATTCAGCAATGCATTTGTGAAAGACATTATTCCATCTTTTTCCTAAAAACTGGTGCACGAATCTTATCTCTCTCATACACAATGGGATTCAAGCAGGAGGGCAGGCTGGATCATGAAAGATCTGCTTAACGTGTTTAGATTTGCCCAGAACATGCAGTCTGCACAAGAAAAATACAAAGCGGTAAAGAGGATA